CCCCCCCCAAAAAAAAAAAAAAAAAAAAAAAAAACCAAACAAACTACAAATAAACAAAAGTTCCAAACAAAAACAAAACAAACAAAAGAGGGTCTCAGTTCCAAAACCTCACACTCTCAGCTGCGGGGTGTGTGTGTCGGGGTGGGGGATGCACCTGCAATCCTAGAGGGGAGGGCCGTGACTTGAAGAGTCAGAGCTGCCTGTTTGGTTGTGCTGACCCCTAGGACTGACTGCCCAGGCAGGGACAAGAGTGAGGCAAGAAATTGAGGAACCATGAATTCTATGTGGGTAAAGGGTATTTTTGGCAAAAAACAACAAGGTCAAGATTAGTGATTTGTAGGGGAGTTTGAAATCCATCTAAAACAGCACATTTAAAAATGTACATTTTGCAGAGAGGACTCATTTGACATGCACTTGAGCATTCATGAAGTACTAGAGCTGGGAGTAAGTCAGAGACCCAAGTCATCTGAGTTCCTCGTCTTCCTAGAACACACACTCCTTTTGGACCACATATTGATTCTCTAAAATGGACCGTGACAAAAATTACATAGGAATTAAGATGTTAAACCTGAGGTCCTTAGTATTACATAACAATACCATTTAAGGGAAACCTTAAAAGTCCAGATGGAGAGATGGCTCAGCGGTTAAGACCACTGGCTGTTCTGGCAGAAGACCGAGTTTGATTCCCAGCACCCACATGGTGGAAAACAACCATCTGTAACTCCAGTTCCAGGGGATCTGATACCCTCTTCTGATCTCCAAGGGCACTGCATGACATGGATACACTTACATGCATGTAGGCAATATACTCATACACACTGAAAAAAAAAAAGTTCAGATGATGTCCAGATCTGGTGGGTCCTCCTGTGATACCTGCACTCAGGAGGTAGAGGAAGGAGGAAGGCAGAGGAAGGAGGAGTGTGAGTTTGAGGCTAGCCTGGGCTAAAGAGTGAAACAGACTGTCTTAAAACCAGAAAAAGAAGTGTCTAGTCCATAGGCCAAGGATAGTCATTAATTCAGCCCAACACAGAATTGTCAACTTACTTAGAACATTATGAGGTTTATTTATTTATAACTCAATTACATGGTTCCTGAGAGAGAACCATTCTGTCTCAATGTTGATATGTTGGAGTCACCTAAATGGATCCATCCTAGAGGTTCTGATTGCTGGATCTATTGGGGTCTGGGAGCTATGTTTGAAGGGCCTACTTATTTGAACCTGTCAGGGATGAGACAGTTACAAAACAAAACAAAACAACCTCAACAACAAAATCCGAAAATCAAAATGAAACAAGCAACAAAAACTCAGAGGTTGGACATGAAATTCCTCTGACCATGAAGAGTTGCTCCAGATACCCCGGGATGAAAGAATCAACATTCTCACTTTAGTTTTTAGGATTCTTTGAGACAGGGTCTTATGAAGCCCAAGTTGACCTAGAACTTGCTATGTAGCTAAGGCCGTCCTTGAACTCTTGATCCCCTTGTCTCTGCCTCTCAAATGCTGGGATTATAGGTGTGAACCATCATGTCCTGTCAACTCTTTATTTTTATTAGCTTAGAATAGCACTCTAGTAATAAGGCCTGCAAAGCTCAAATATATATTTTTATTATATCTTATTTTTTAAAAATATTTATTACTTTTATGTGTATGAGTGTATTGCCTGCATGTGTGTAAGTGCAGCTGTGTTGTTCAATGATGGAGCAGTACAGAAGAGGGCATAGGATTCCCTGGAAATGGAGTTGCTGACAGTTGTTAGCCACCATGTTGGTGCTGGGAATCGGACCTGGGTCTTATGCAAGAGGAGCCAGTGTTCTTAACCACTGGGCTCTCTCTTCAGTCTGATGTTTATATATTATATATATATATATAAATTTTTTGGGGGGGGTATTCTTTTTTGAGGCAGGGTCTCCCTGCAGCCCCAGCTGTCCTGGAACTCACTATTTAGACCAGGCTGGCCTTGAACTCACAGAGATCTGCCTGCCGCTGCCTCCCGAGTACCGGGATTAAAGGCGTGTGCCACTACTCCTGGCTCTGTTTATATTTTTAAAGTTCTACAGAGAAGATGAATTATCACTACCACCCAACCTCAAACACCAAAGGGCTTAATTTCTTTCCCCAATACTAGGACCGTGGATTTTTATTATATGCCATGGCACAGATAGTCACTTTGAAAGTGTTCTCTCGCGTAATAATCCCAAGTAACCTGAGGGGGTTATCGCTGAATTCCTTCAGTCTTAGTAAGTGGGAGCCCTGAGAGGTCAGTTTCCTTAATGTCACACTGAAGGTGCCTGATGGACCCCAGAGTCGACCTCACAAACCACCTCTGTGACATCCTTACTTCTCTGAGTGGCTTCAACTCTGCTTCCTTTATTTGTTGGACTCTATCTTGCGACCAAAGAGCAACACGTTGCAAATCACCCAAAAGGAGAAGAAACTGCGTGGGCTAGTACCATGCAGGGTAGTGGAGGGTAACTGGGAAGAGCAGCCTTGGCGTTGGAGGCTGTCCTTCCTGCCCCAGCCTCGCCCGGCTGCTCTGTGCCCTGCGCCTCTGGGCGGCGCAGGCTGCGGCGGCGACCTGGGGCCGCGAATTTCGAGGTGGCCCGCGCGCCCACGCGGGTGCACGCCCGGTACCCTGCGGTGATCTTAATTTCTCGTCCCGAGAGCAGTCGGACGGCTTCTCGAGTCCTCCACAAAGTGGAACCGGGGACAGAGGACCGAGCGCAGCTTCTTCTCTGGAAGGACCGTGGCTGGCGAGATCTCTCCCGCCAAGGCCACCTAGCCTTGGGCTTTTCTCCCTTGCCTGTAGTGGTCTCTTGGTCCCGAAAAGTTGGTCCCAAAGTTTAAAGTGCAGGCGCATGTGTGCGCGCGTTGATAGGCACCTGGACCGGGAAGCGGGGGGTGCGTGGGATTTACTCGTCCTGGTCCCAGGGTCACAGATCCAGACCGGGGGCCAGGACTTGAACCCCCGGGCGCAGGGCAGGCGGGGAGCTAGCGCGGGAATGTGGCGGGAGGCGGCACATTCCTCCGGCCGGGTGTGCGACAGCTTGGCCCGGCACCGGCCCAGGCGGAGTGTGAGAGCGACACTGAAAGGGCCGCCCAGCCCCCACCTGTTTAAAATGACTTCCAAATACCAAACTGGGATTCTCTGTGTTCCACAAGCTAAACAGCTGGGTGTAAAACACGTGCGCGAGCGACCCGGAAAGGCTCTGTGAGGTTGGACGCCCCTGGAAGAAAAGAGGAGGAATTCCAGGAGTGTAGGAAGAAGGGGGCAAGTTGGCTTCCAGGGGAGATCGGCGCTAGGACCCGACGGGAAGCTCGCTGGAATCTCGCCCTTCCAGGAGGAGGGACTCGGCTGGCCGGCGGGCGGGCGGCATCGGGGCGCATGCGCGCGCGTCTTCTCTCCTGCCGGCTGCCGCGCTCCGCCGCGCGGAATAGAATGAACCGTAACAAAACAAGCCGAGCCTTTGTATCTGCTTAAAGGGGCCGCGGCCACTTCCCGCTCGTCGCGTCCACCCCGCCCCGCGCCGCCGCGTCTCCTGGGCGCCCGGCAACTGGCTCGGAGCGGGGCTTCCCTCGCGCGGAGGAGCTGCTGGCGGGCGCCGAGCTGCGCTGCGAGTGTGGAGGAAGCCCAGCTGAGCGCCGACCCCGGGCGGCGCGGAGTGGACTCTGGTCCCGGGAAGCGCGTCGGCGCCGGAACGCGGAGCGGGAGGCACCGGAATGCAAACAAAGCTCGCGGGCGGCCGCGTAGGGCAGCCCGGAAAGTTTGTTTAAGGATGGCTTGAGAGCGCGGAGCGCGCGACGGCGGCTGCCGGGTGGTTGCTCCCGAGGGCTGGAGATGCTCCCCTGAGCCCGCCGCCGGGCTCCTGCTGTGGGGACACCTGTCTCTCATCCGAGTAGCTTTTGCCTTTTCTTTTGGAGGAGGGGCTGTCACTCATCATGTCGAAAGTGATCCAGAAGAAGAACCACTGGACCGGTCGGGTTCACGAGTGCACCGTGAAGCGCGGACCCCAGGGCGAGCTGGGGGTGACGGTGCTGGGGGGCGCGGAGCACGGGGAGTTTCCGTACGTGGGGGCCTTAGCGGCCGAGCTGCCCGGCGGCTGCGAGGGCCCGAGGCTGGCGGAAGGAGAGCTGCTGCTGGAGGTGCAGGGGGTCCGGGTGTCCGGCTTGCCCCGCTATGACGTGCTGGGGGTCATCGACGGCTGCAAGGAGGCGGTCACCTTCAGAGCCGTCAGACAAGGTGAGGCGGGTGTGCCTGGGGGGCACGCAGGAACAGGAGGTGCCCCCCAGGAACTGGGATATCTCCAGGAACAGGGGCGCCCCAGGAATAGAGGGGTGCCCCCAGGAACAGGAACTGAAGATGTCCCTAGAAACAGAGGGGTGCTCCCAGGAACAGGAACGCCCCCAGGAATAGGGGCGTCCCCAGGAACAGGAGCTGAGGATGCCCCTAGAAACAGAGAGGTGCCCCCAGGAACAGGGGCTCAGGATGTCCCTAGAAACAGTGGAGTGCCCAAAGGAACAGGGGTATCCCCGGAAACAGGGGCGCCCCCAGATACAGCGGTGAGGCTTGTGGGGCGCCCCCAGAAATGAGGGGCGGTTGTGGGGCACCCCCTGCAAACCACGCTTTCCTGCCTATCTGTTCTGAGAGAAGTAGAGGCCCGGACTAGAGACGCAGCAAAAGTTGCTGTGAGCTTGCGGGCTGCGCGCCCACCTGCGTTTCGGGGAAGAGGGTCGGGTGATGCTTCTCAGGCCTGGGTTCCCCAACTTCTGATCTCAGCCACCGAGGGCCGTGCAGCCTCGCTTGCACTGTGAGGCGAGCTGGGAACTGAGGCAGGGCAAGGTGAACGCTCCCCCCACCCCCCACCCCTGCTCTCTTTTTTGTGCGTGGGGTGGCTGAGCACGGAGCTGGTGGCTCCTCTTGGATTGTTCCCAGAACTGGTGAATGGATATGTGGATAGAAAGGGTCTCTCTGTGGCTTATTGGACCTTTTCCGTCACCCAAATTGGCTTCACCCTGCAGCCCCTCCAGGTGGGCTGGGTTAGGACCCCTCCCCCCTAAAATCCCGAATTCGCAAGGAGCGCCTGCCTTCACGCCACAAGCAGAGTGACGCACGTCTCTAGATGTGGAGACGCGGTGGGGGAAGGGGTGTTTCACTCTTGGCGCCAATCAATTCCAAGTTTATACCCTGCCGCTACCGCCGTCACCGTGGTCGGTATTGATGATGGTAATCGCCACAGTGCTTCGTGTACGTGCCGCCAGGGAGCCTCTCTGTGAAGTGGGTTTGATCGCATTATCTCATTCTGGTTCACAACATGTTCAAAGATCCGAGGTGTTTTGGCAAGTCCTCCATTAGAAACCGGGAGCGACGGTAGTTTGGTGACTGGCCCAAGGTCACACAACTGTTAAAAGTCTTTGAGCCCCAGTTGTTGAACCTTATGCAAGGAGGAGGAGGAGCTTGAGGAGATGACCTCTAGGGACTGAGTTTTGAGGAGGGAAGGGAAGCAAATTCCTGCCTCAGAAGTCTACAGCGTAGAGATAGATTTAAAAAAAATATTTATTTTTTGTATATGAGTGTATTGCCTGCATGTATGTAAGTGCACCCGTGTCGTGCAATGCCCGTGGAGGTCAGAAGAAGGCGTCAGATTTCTCTGGAACTGGAGTTACAGACTGTTGTTACCCACCGTAGGTGCTGGGAATCAAACCCAGGTCCTCTGCAAGCGCAGCCAGTGCTCTTAACCGCTGAGCCATCTCTCCATCCCAAGGATAGCTTCCTAAAAGGTGCATTTGAGGGCTGCTGGTGGTGGTAGGTCGCTCTCGCTTTGGTATAAGCAAGGGGCTGCTCTGAGATCTTGCCTCTGGAGAATGGCTGCTGCACTTCAAGGGAGCCCTCCAGCACCCCAGCCCTGGGACACAGGTTCTGCTAGTTAAAAGACTGAAGGAGGTGACAGAGTTGAATGTGGTGAAAAGTTGTCACGATGGCAGCAGCTGGAGGACTGTGTCAAAGGAAAGGCGGGGCTGAACAGCAGGCCTCTTCCAGATGCACCCAGGAGGAGTCCACTAGCCAGGCCTTTAAGTGGGTTGGGAACTCAGGCAGTACAATGCCCTAACCTTGCCACTTGGCCACTTTCTCTAAGAAGCCCTTAAGCCTCTCTCAGGGATGAACAAACCTTCCCCCACCCTCCCCTCAGGTGTGTCTTGTGTTTTGTACTTTATTATTTTCTTTGAACTGTGAGTAGGTCCTCCTTTCGAGCTTACAGAAGGGAGGGACTGTGCGTCATTCTTGCTGTCTTCAGTCTGTCTTGTCTGACCCTACATCCTTAAGAGTTTTCATAAGCGAGTGACTGGGAAAGTGTGGAAGAGTGCGGCTTTGTAGTAGGTGCTCAATAAAAGTGAGCTGTTGTTATATCTGAGTTGAATTTGAGCATCCACCTGTCTGTCCTGGCCTAGTTAGGAATTTAATGCCAGTTACCTGAATGACAATGACTTGGCAGAGCTGTTAAGAAAGTATTATGTCAAGCGTTGGTTGGGAGCAGCTCTGGGTTTGAGTGCAGGGCCATTTTGGAGGGCAGCAGATAGGAGCATCTTTTCATCCCATGTGGTATCTGGTGGTGTCCACTGGGTCCTATATTGGGACTTGGCAGTGTGCAAGATGCTGCATGTAGCTACCCCTTCCTTCCACAGTTTGAGAGGCATGGTCCCAGGCTGCGGCCGTGGATCTGAGGAAGGATACCTGTGAATTTGGCAGGACCTGTAGTGTTTGCAAGTGTTGAGTCCTTCATTCAGGACTGTCCTTGGCACACAGAAATGAACACAGTAGGGTGAGTGGGTGTATGCCTGTGCATATACTTAAAATGGGATAGAACAGATCTCACTCATTGGGAAACTTGGATGGCTTGGAATCCACTACAGTGGGAACTCTGGTGCATATGATAATTACATGGGCACAGTTACTTGTCTCATGACTTCATTATCTTGAAGACATCCCTAGAAACCATCTTACCAGTCTCCCATTCCCTTTGATAATGAGAAAATGATTAGATTATAGGACGAAATTGTATCTCCTTGTGTTATTTGTTACTGTGTCTGTATCATATCAGGTTGACTCACTTGGCATATGGGGAAGAAAAGCCTTGTTTTTATGTTGTTTCTACTTAGAGTTAGTTGTCACAGGGGACTGGTCACTTGGAGTACTTTTGTGTATGGCGATGTCACAGTCCCGTGGGAGAAGAGTCTGCTCTTCCTGCTTTGTGGTGGTTCTCTAGAGAGATGCCTGGACCCAGGTATTCTATAGTCTATAGACCATGGACTAGGACTGGATTTTGAACCAGAGTAAATAGATCTACTGGGCTGGAGTTCCCTTCACGTTAAATGGAGTGGGTGGTCTTTTGCCATAAAATGCCTAAGAAATCACAAATGCATGTATGTTAGTTATGTCATGTGTGTATAGTATTTACCTACAGATTTTAAAAAATCTTTTAAAAACGTAAGTGAATTTTTAAACTGATGTATATAAAAAAAAAGACATTTTTTTTTTTTTTTTTCTGAGGCAGGGTAGCCCAGGCTGGCCTTCAGTTCATGATCCTCCCATCTCAGCCTCCTGAGTGCTGGAGTGTGGGCATGTGCTGCCACACCTAGTGTACTGTGATGTTTTGATGCTTGTATATGTTGTGTTATTTTAAATCAGATACTAAGTATCTACTTTGATGAATTTTGACACTTGTACACGCTAATGTTCCTGTCACTCAGATGAGGATACAGAATTTTTGGAAATTTCATGTTTCTTTCTAGTTAATCCACCCTCCACAGAGGCTCTTGTTTCCTTTACCATGAATCCATCTGTTCTTAAACTTCCATATAATATATACTTCTTTGTATCTTACTCTTTTTACTCAACAAGAAATTATGGAAATTTCATATTGTATGCTTCATTCTGTGACTCCTTTTTTATTGCTGAGTAGTAGTCTACTGTATACATTTTACCCATTTGCTTTTCCTTTGCTTCTCTGTGCAAATTTGGACTCTTTGATGTCAATCATCAAGTTGCTGTGAGTGTTCTGATTGTTTTACATCTTTGCCAGTCCTTAATCTTGTCCGTGTTGAATTTTACTCATTCTAGTGTTTGAGGGAAAGTAATTAGGGAATCTTTGATACAGGATGTAGCTAGTATTTAAGTTCTTACCTTAGAATATGTCAAGATGATGTGTGTGTTTAGCACATGTGAGGCCTAGGTTCAAACCTTAGCACTGAGACAGACAAACCAAGAGAGAAAGACTGTGTAGGTGCTTGGCTAACTTAGTGCTTTGTGGGTATTCTCTTCTTCAATCCTCTGAACTCTACTCAGGTATTGAAAACAGGTTCAGAGAGATGAGGTAACTTTCCTAAGAGCCCTACCAGCAGGAGGAGGGCTGGGGTCCAGCCCATTGAAAATCCAAAGCTTTTGCTCATGATTGCTGAGACCTTGGATCTGGAGGTGTTGGGCTCTCCTGGGTGCTGGTTAGGAATGTAAAGTCTACATCTTTACTGACTCAGAAGCTTTGGGTATCGAGGGGGGAGTTATGCAAATTGTTGCCCTGGGGTAGAGCCTGAAATGGAGACGATGGCATCAAATAGGCAGGTGACCCAAGTTCCACAGTGTGTCGGATCTGCTGCCCTGTCTGTGGGTCTAAATTTCTACATGCCAGAAATAAGTGGGTGTGCCCCTCTTCAGTTTCTTCGAGCTCATGAAGTGCTGCTTCCATGAATAACCCAGACTCCAAAGGCTTAAAGTTGTGTGATTGCAGTTTCTCAAATGGGTATATTATAGGTCATGCTTTCATATTTTTATAGTTGAATTTTTTGGTTTTGCAAATTACTCAGGAACCAAAATTGTCCCTCTACTTTTTTTTTTTTTTTTAAAGCAAGCTGGAGACAATAAATAGACATAATTTAAAAGTTAAAACATTCCCACTAGACCTTTCTCCTCAGCACAGAAGGGAGTTGTGGCCACATGGAGTTGAATATAGTTCTTGGTGTGGGTTTTTCTTTTCCTTTGTTTTGATGAATTGGAATATATCACATCAGCTCTGTAACAAAATAATACTGTTACCACTCCCCTCCCCCCACGTTTTAAAACATACTGGCTTGTCTTTCTTGGTTTCTTCTTTTCCTTGAATATCTGATCTTGCGTCTGCTCTTCCAGATGATGCTCACATCAGCTCATTTTCTCTTTTCTTTCTTCCTTTTTATGGTTGCTTTAAAATT